CCCCAAAACCCCAAAACCCCAAGATTCTGATTAAAATTGAAAATGAAATAAATAGAATATATAATCAACTTAAAATATCAATCAGGCATTTGTTTTCCCATTATATCCATTAATAGAAAATTCTTGAGGTATGTCCTCTAATAATAAAGTCTTTTTTCTGCTAAATAATCCATTTTCCTTGTGGAACTTAAGTATATTATCTCCATCAATTTTTTAATTAGCGAATGTCTGGAATATTTGTTCTAATGTTGTTTGAGAAGCAGAGTATTCACTAATATTAAATTCCTCTTTTTTACCTTCGATCAAACTGAAAACATAACCTATTGATTTATCTTTTCTCGGGACTCTAATTTTATAGTAATCATTATAATGCTCAAGGATTTCAACGAGTTCGAAGTCATTGCAAAGACCTTTAATAATTTTCATTCCAGCTTATTCAACATACATCCAATTGATGAAATTCCTTGTTTCTACCATCCCATTGTGCTCATTAGCTTCAAGACAGATGTCATTCCCTAGCCCGTTTATTCTTAGCTCATTGACCAGAAAATCATCCACATAATTCTTCCTTAAGATATCTTCGATTTCACTCAAAGGGATTTAATCTCTGTTTAGAAGTTAAAACTAGTCAACCATTGATTTCATCTCAATGTTTGATTATTTTTTCACTTTAACTTCTATCTCATAACCTGTACCATATTTACTCTTGATATGTTAACTAGAACCAAAGCATTTAAATGTCCCTCCTTTAACCATGATTCCCATTTTAGTTGACAAAGCCTCTGCCTCCTCCATTGAGTGAGTAGTTAAGATAACTGCACTTTTCTTTCTTAATTAAGATATTTTTGCTACTACTGACCACATGAATCTTCTAGCCTCAGGGTCCATTCCAGCAGATGGTTCATCAAGTAAAATGATGGGTGGATTTCCAAGGACACATATTGCAACTGATAACTTTCTCTTGTTGCCTCCTGATAAAGTTCCTGCTGGTTTCTTCCTATGTTCACTTAAGTTCATTTCCTTTATTTACTTTTCTACTAACTCTTCCCTCAACTCTTTCTTGATTCCCTTTATTCTTGCATAGAAATAAAGGTGATCCTCAACTGTCATGAGTGGAAAGATTGCATCATACTAGGGACAATAACCAATCAATTTTCTAACTTTATTAAAATCTCTAAGTATGTCCATTCCACATATAGTAACCTATCCAGATGTGGGAGTTATTCCGCCTGTTAAGCTTTTGAAAGTAGTTGTTTTACCAGCACCATTTACTCCTAAAAGAGCAAAGCATTCTCCATATTCAAGTCCAAATGAAGTCTTTTCAACAGCAACGGAGCCTCGACTAAAACCCTATGAGTATACTTTTCTAAACTTATTCACCCGAACTTTCAAAAGATTTGGACTTATTTTTTCAACCCTGTTTTCCTCTTCAATTACATCATCATCCTAGTTTAATTCTTTCAGAGCAGGTACATTTCTTCTTTAGATTCTCTCGAAGCATCTTAAGATAAAGTTAAAAGCCCCAGCTTCAGACAATATTAAAAGGATTGTCCATAAACTAAATGGTTTAAGTAAATAAATTTAATTACCCTGCATGTACCAGCATGATAGCAATATCACCTCCAACTGCTTCAAAATCTAGATCATCCTTTATCAAATTAGGTCTTAATTGAAATAGCTATGGCTTGAGTGATTGGTAAGCAATGCTATCTGTTAAACAATAACTGGGAATAATCTTAAAAGCCCAAACTAGTTTATCTCCAATGTCATAGGCATCTTCAATAATTCTCAAAGCGCCTGCAATTATACCTCCTATTCCAGCAATAACAAAATGCACAAAGATAGTCAAAGTTTAACAAAAGTTCTCGCTTGCAAAGAATTATGAGGTAAAGTATGAGAACGGAATAACGCCTAATGGATAAATCAGGAAGAGAACCCAAACATAATCGTACTATTTTATTAATTATACATATTTATTAACTTACAGCCACTTCAAAAGCATACAATAGGCCAATTACAATCGCAGATGGTATAATAGCTTTCAAAATATCAAAGATAATGTTACTAACCCAATAAGCTGCCAAGCTCATACCACTGACCATTTACATATGTTTCAAACTTTTCTCTCTCTCATTAACAATAAAAGTAACTACAGAAGCGGGAATCATTGCAAATCCAATAGCTACAACAAATATAATAAAAAATCCATTTGTTCCTTATGATCTGTTTCTTAATTTTGCAGTCACAGGGAATGGATGAGATGAAACTTTGAATTTCAGGTTTGGTTTACTCAAAGCTACCTTAAGAATAGATTCGTACATAAATTGAGGGAAATAAGCAGTAACATCTTGGGATGTCAAGTTGACAAATGTTAGTACCTTGAACATAAGTTTGCTCTGGTCAGCTTCATAGAAGAAATATGAACCAAATCTAAAAGGAGTGTAAGGCTTTTGTAGTCTGGACTTAAATACATCCTCATCGAATTTCCAGATAACATTAGTTCTATTAGTTTCATTTTTATAACTTCTGGATGTTGCTTCAAAAGCATCTTTAGATTGAGGTAAATTTTCCATGAAAATTGTCGGAGTCCAAGATTGAGTCATTGAACTATTAAGGAAAAATTCGTTGTTATATTGGACTCTCTATTTTAAAGGAAAGGTATCTGGTTTCAATTCTCTTACTGGCCCATCTTTTAAAAAGCGAACTCTCGTAAACGATAGACCAATCAATACCAAGAGTACTGGAATGAGAATTTCTACGACCAATCCGTTGTAATTTCTCTTATAGAGTTGAATTCTTTTCCTTATCATAGCATCAAGATGGATTAAAAAAACATTGATTGTTCCTGTTTCATGATTTTCTGCAACTGAGTAATCATCATTTTTATCAGGTGTTTAAGTAATTTATTTCATTACAACCTCCTTAGCTTTTTAAAGCTCCACTGGATCTTCACCATGTCCTACTTTCAAAAATACTTCCTCAAGAGTAGTGACTGAAATTCCATAGCTTCTAATCTCAAGTGAATCGAGGCATTAATCAAACTTAGGAAAGAAGTCTTTAAATTTAAACGAAAGTGCTGTTGGAATCTAATATGTTATTTCACTAGATACCTCAGAAAGTTTTCTTACTTCCCCGATTTCTTCATTTAGAAATTGTCCTATTTTAAGATTAGGATCTTTGCTCTTTTTTACCATTGTTAGGTTATATCCGACACCAAATCGATTCTTCAAAAAGAGTGAGCCTCCAAGACAAATTAATTGACCTCCAGTCATTATTCCAATGCGATCTCCAAGAATGTCTGCTTCATCCATGTAATGAGTTGTCAATATAATGATTCTATTATTCTTGTAGTTCTTTAGCATATTCCAAAGTTTTCTTCTCGCACTTAAATCCATTCCTGAAGTAGGTTCATCTAAAAGCACTAGTTTTGATCCTCCTATCAAAGCAATTGCAACAGAGAGCTTTCTTCTGTTGCCACCTGATAAATTTCTGGCTTAAGTGTTTTTATAGGCATAAACGTCCACATCTACAAGTATCTTCTATATTTCTTCTTTCTTTGCCTTACTATCAACTCCTTTAAAGTCACAGAATATATCGAGATGTTCTTCAGGTGTGAGAAGATCAAATAAGATGTCATGTTGAGGGCAGACTCCCAAGAAGTTTCTGACTGAATCCATATCATTGAATAAATCATGACCGAAGACTTCAGCACTTCCAGATGATGACTCAATCAAACCAGTTAGCATAGATATTGTAGTCGTTTTACCTGCACCATTATGCCCAAGCAGAGCGAAAATTTGGCCATTATACATCTTTATGTTAAGTCCTTTCACTGCTTAGAATCCATTAGTGAAAGTCTTCTTAAGTTCAGATATCTTAAGTATCTTGTCTTCATTTTCCTAAGCCTATAAATCTCTTGATACTGGCTCTACATTTTCTCTTTTCATAAATTTAGCTTCAAACAAAGATTGATTTTCAGAATCATCTTAAAGTGATGATAGTTTGCTATTTTAGACTTTACCATTTCTTTTCAATCTACACCAATATCCTCTTGTTACAAAGTAATACCATGGCTTACGAAGGCCAAAAGCACTTGGAAGCACATTATCTAAATATAGTCCAATAGTTAAGAACAAGAAGAATGAAATGGCCATCATTATGATGCAATCTTCAAATGAGTAGTTATTGTAATAGTTCTTAGCTGTCTCTGAATTAACACCTTGTCCATTAATCTCAAATAATCCTAAATTAGTAGACCCAAGTGAGACTGCTACAGTGGACAACAGCGAGGCTAAGTTTTTACTTAATGTTGAAACAGAGGGATCTGCAACTGCTTGACTTACAAACCAAGTACAAAAATAGGCTAATGTTCCAGTAATTGCTGCAACTCTAGCTGTTGAGAAAAATGATTGCAAAAATATGCAAAAACCGAATAGAGACATTCCATAAACCCAGAAATATAAGAATATGTATGCCCTGTCAGAGTACTTGAAAACATTGATGGAAAGAATGATGATGCAAAGAGCGCTAATGATTGTCACAATTAAAAAGTAGTATGTAAACCAAGATAACCAATAGGAGAAGTCAGTTAATCCCATCATTCTCATACTCTCTCTAGCCTTAGATTCTTTCTCAGCTACTATTTTTTGTATCAACCTGTATACTGGAATGATATACATTAGCAACAAGTAATAAGCTAAAACTACACTTAAAACTGTACCATAGTCATCTTTTATGTACTCATCTGCCTTGAATGGAACAATACTCATAGCAATAGTAGCATTTTGCTTGCCTGATTTTTCTCTAAGTACAATATTTGCAATCCAATTTTGCATGTAAGAAAACCCTTGCTTGGTGTAACTGTAGTATGATGGCTTGTCTTCCTTGATTAAGTATTAAGACCAAGGTTAGGTTAACTGAAGAGGTATCTATCTAGCTTCAGTTTCTCCTTGATTTCCATTGAAAATCAGTTTGACATCGATGTCATCAGAACCATTTTCTAAAACGGAAAATCCAAAGCATATTCCTTTTTTTCCTCCTCTTAGCATATAATCCGAAGATGCGATGTAATCTATAATGTCATCATGAGACTTGAAAGCCATGTATTCAAAGTCAATTACACTTTCCTCAAGTGTTTTGTTAAATGATTTCTAAGAGTCAATTGATTTTTAAATATTTTATTTTTCTGTAGCATTCTTAGACTAATTTTAGAGTTATATCGACTGCAGAAATATGTTCAAAGGAATAACCTGTTATTGATACATTTTCTGATTTTTCTCTAAAACAATGATAAGAGCAGGATAACAATCTTACATATTGCTTTGATATTGTTCCTTATACTATTAATATAATTGTCTCGAGCAGAATAAGCAATCACTGTTCTTGTATCATCTTGATCAGTCTTTCTACATGCTGTGGTTATAAAGTTGAGAACAGGATCGGTTCTCTCCACAGTTAAACCTCCAGTATCATTCAAATATTTACCGTAGAGACCAAAAGCATTTTAATATGACTAAGTGAAGTTTGTAAGATTCAAATGATCAGGTGGACTGAAGAATGTTGTTGTGGGTATATTAGTATTTGCAAGAATGATTTCATAATCTATACTAATTCTGAAAAGAGTCAGAACAGTCATCAATGCGACTGGACAAAACAACTCTGCGAGTGAGGCAATTGGAGTCCTTTTCCAGTTAATCCAATTCTTCTTCATCAATGCACAATAGTGCCGCGCAATTAATCCCATAATCTGAAATTGCACTACTTTTTCCTAAATAAATAATAATTATATATAGTGTCATACTCAATTAATTAAATACTAAATTATCCTTTAATATAATTACGTGGATTTCAGGATGATTTATATACACATTCTGATCTTATCCATGCTTTAATCATTTACATTTTTCTAATTTTAGTATTTTCATCTTCACGGGGTTTTGGGGTTTTGGGGTTTTGGGG